TCATGCTAAGGGACTGCAAAGTGCCGAAAAGGAGATGAAAGTGCCACAAAACTAAAATTGCTTTATTTTAAGGGCCATTCCATTGTGACTTGTGGGACATTTTATGTGGCTTATAACTACGTACATATGTCGTCGGAACTTCTCCGCAGGGAAAGCCCCTAGTTGTGAACTAGAATTCTACCAGTTTACGTTTCAACCCAACTGGTTCACGTTCTATTCTTTTTCAATGTTAGAGACTGGTATTTTTAACATTGCGATGTCCTACGAAATGTCAATTATCAGGCTATGCATCAGCATCTACTAGTAGAAACACTAATAGCAGCATACCAGTTGATGAGATAGTCTGCCAATTCATCCCCTATGAAAATCATTAGTATGCCTTTTTGCTCGCGGCGCTCCAACAGTCGCAATGGCCACTCGCGTGGTATGCCTGAGGTCCCAGGTTATTATTTTTGGTTGTTTTTTTTAGGGTTTTTATTGTAATTTTTAAATTTAATTTAAAAAAATATATTTTTGTAATCTCTTTTTTTATGGCACAAGCATTTTTTCCCATATGTAGATATGTTTTTTCTGCAATGCAATTATTTTATATACATTTAAATTGAAATAATTATTTTTACTTACATTGATTTAACTTTAAAAATCTTAACCACCTCAAAGCGGACCTGCGTTCTCAGAACTAGAATCAGTAGACTTCACGTCACGCCACAGCAGACATTTGTAAGAAAAGCAATTAATTGCGTTTTATTTTTGGCTTTGGCAATTCAAAGGTAGATGTCGCTGAACGCTTAAGTTCTTCGAAATTGTCGAACTGGCAGGCACATACTAGTTAATGAACTAGTATTTTTTCTAACTGGTTTGTTGTTTCACTGCAGGGTTATCCTTGTGGGGAAAATCTCTAGTTCGGAACTGGTGCGCTTCTAGTAAATTTAAACCCAGTACTGGTTCGCGATAAATCTCTTTTGCATGCAAACAGCTGGCGAATTTAACATGGCGATGTTCTAGGAAGTGTCAATTATCCCCCGCTTCACCCATTTTTTTATAGTTCCGAACCAGTGCTAAATTCTAAAGTTCCGAACCAGTAAAATCGACAGACGAAAGATTTTTCAATCTTTTTGGTTATACCGTGTGTGCAATTTTTAATTATTTTCAAAGAAATGTGTTTTCAATTTGAAATTAAATTTGTTTGAATGATTAAGAAATGTACGTTTACGTTGGCTGTAGCTGAGTTTTGAAGAGGTGCTTGCTGTGTTGTTTAGATTCCAGAAGGTCCCAAGATGTTAAGATGTTAACACAAATATTTGTTTTGTATTACAAGGCTATGAAAAAGCATCTGGGAAATGTGGAATGAAGCGTATTTGAACGAAAAAGCCGCCAAACACATATCTATGTTGAGTTAAATGAGTCAAATTTGAATTTGTTAAAAAAAAATTACACACAAATTTTTCAAGCAATACATTTTCTTAATAAACGTGAAATTGTTAAGAGATAAACCGCCGAGGAGAGCAAGTAAGTACATTTAAAGTTTGGTAATAAGTAAATACGTTCGACTTTGATGTACATAATTCAAAAATGTCCACTTTTAATTTACCATATTGGATTTTTTCAGACTTTATCAAGAGCTCCACTACATTGCACTACACGACAAAACCATTATTTAAGTGCCCAATATATTTCACTGGATTTTAATAAACAATAACTTTTAATACAATATTAGCCAGAAACACGGAACGGCTAAATAGCATGGGAAATGTTGAAGAAGATGTCACCGAATGGCTACATGTACCAAGTACATGTGTTCATAACGACGTAGAAGGTAGCGACGACTCCGATAATAAGTACTATGACGAAGCTATGGATGAAATATTTGCGGATGATGAGGAAGAAAATTTTGTGTTCGCAGATGAGATTGATGTATTCGACGAGTGGCACGAAGATGCTCTTCAGTACATAGCAGGGTTTGTCATACGAAAAATGGGTCTTACCCAATATGAACAAACCACAGCAGATACGTATACATGGATAGACCAAATTTCAAAGGGCAGTCTTATTAAACCAAATTCTGAAGTTTTTAACATTATAAAAAAAACCTCAACATGTTTTCATAAAAGTTAATGGCCAAACCATTTCGCATGAAAAAAAAATTTAATCTCAAAATTGTTAGAGTTAAGCCCACATATAAAATTAGAAACAAATGTAAAATCATACTTTTATAAGTGTCGAATAATGTTTAGGATAAAAAATTTAAATAGACAAATAAACGCACAAAAGCATAAAACTTGGGCAGTTAAAAACAAGAAAATTTCTAAAACGATTTTATAAACAATCTGTTTTATTTTATTGACAAAATATATAGGTAATGTAAGTAAAACAAAACTATAATCAAAATAAAAGCCTAGGGCGTCAGTGCTGACACGATACATGCATCACTAAGGGTTAATTCGTTTGTTTATACTTTTTGACATTATAGTACCTTAAAAGAGAGCCGCACTGAGTTGTCAATCACACCTTGTTTAATACACCTTGGTTGTGTTAAATTATTCTTTATCTTACGTGTACACACGTTGTCACAGACGAAAATGATGAAAAATTCAGTAAAAAGCCACCACCAAATTGTAAACAACGAAGAAATGTAGCCAAACGGCTAATGTCAAAATCGTTAAACTTTTCTCCTAAATGCGATTCTAACGGGCTACTCTCCTGCCAGCGTGATCTTGTCTTTTTAGTTTATGGTCTGTTTAAAGGAGTGCAATGGTGTATAGTCGTTGAGCTGGGTATGCAGTTACAGTTGCATGGCTATACTCAATCCCGACTCTTGCGTCCTCGTTCACGCTCTCTGGGCAACCTGAGCAACCCATGTGCGAGATGTGGTAACCAATCCGAGTGGAGCCTTGGTTCACGGCAGAAAGAGAGGGGGCCCACTGAAGTCTGCGTTGTCTGTTCACGAATAGGTGCGGCTGCAAGCGGGTGTCTGCTTGGTGCAAGCGGCTCGCTTTATAAACGTGTTGCGAAACCACCCCCGTCCCAGCAATGGGTTGTGCCCGCCACGTAAAAACCACTTCCAGTGAAGAAGCAAGGTAAAGNGGCATGCACCTGGAATGTCCGGACCCTTAATGGGGAAGGTGCCTCTGGCCGGCTGGTTGATGTCCTCGTAAGGACAAAAGCTGACAGCACCGCCATCCAAGAAATGCGTTGGACGGGGCAAGGCAAGCAATGTCTGGGGCCTTGCGACATCTACTACAGCTGCCATGTAAAGGAGTGAAAATGCATCATTAAAGTGAGATTCTTCAACATCTCGCTCATCTGCGGCCATGCCCCGACGGATGAGAAAGATGAGGCATCCAAGGATATCTTCTATGAGCGCTTGGAGGGCACGTACGAGCGCTGCCCCCGTCATGATATCAAATCGTGCTTGGCGACTTCAATTCCAGGGTGGGCAAAGAAGAGATCTTTAGAACCACTGTCGGAAAATTCAGCCTCCACTACGAAACGCCCGACAACGAATTTAGGCTGATCGACTTCGCCGGGGCCCGAAACATAAAAAGATCCATCAAGCTATGTGACTGTCACCGGATCGAAAAACGAGAAACCAAATCGACCATATTGTGATAGACGGGAGGCATGCTTCCAGTGTTTTGGACGTACGTACACTCCGAGGCCCAAAAATCGACTCGGACCACTTTCTTGTTGCAGGCCGTACTCGTGTAAGCACAACAATGGCGAAATAGTTACCGATGTTCAGAACGTACTTAAATTACGCTACTGAATGGTAGCAGCATGGAAAGTTGTGGAGAAGAAGAACCCGAGACCCCAGTCGATGATGACAGAGTCGATGTTCCTCCGCCTGCCCATGACGAGGTACGAATAGCAATAAAGNTGAGCTATTCAAGTACGGCGGCGAGGAGTTGATAAGGTGCATGCATCAACTCTTATGCAGAATATGGTCAGATGAACGCATGCCCGACGACTTGAACTTACGGGTGCTCTGCCCAATTCACAAGAAAGGCGACCCCGCCGTTCGCGCCAACTACCTCGGGATCAGCCTTCTAAGCATAGGTTACAAGGACTTATCGAGCGTATTGTGTGAAAGACCGAAGCCCACCGTCAATGAACTGATTTGGCCTTATCAGTGTGGCTTTAGGCCTGGGAAATGCACCATAGACCAGATATTCACAATGCGCCATATCTTGGAAAAGACCCGCGAGAGAAGGATCGACACTCACCACCTATTTATCGACTTTAAAGCCGTTTTCGGCAGCACTGAAAGGAGTTGCATATACGGCGCTATGTCTGAATTTAGCATCCCCTCAAAACTCATACGGCTGTGTAAAATGACATTGAGCAATACCACCAGCTCCGTCAGAATTGGGAAACACCTCTCCGATTCGCTCGCCCCCAAACGGGATTTCAGACAGGGAGACTATCTTTCATGTGACTTCTTTAATCTAATGTTAGAGAAGATAATAAGAGCTGCANACTTGGGAACCAGCATTAACACCGATAATAATGTCAGCATTGAAATCCAACGTAGAATCACTCTTGCCAACAAGTGCTACTTTGGACTGAGTAGGCAATTCAGGAGTAAAGTCCTCTCTCGACGTACGAAAATCACGCTCTATAAGTCACTCATCATGCCCGTGCTGGTATATGGCGCAGAAGCATGGACAATAACAACATCCGATGAGGCGGCTCTTGGAGTATTCGAGAGAAAGATTTCGCGGAAGATTTACGGGCCGTTATGCGTTGGCTACGGCGAGTACCGCAGACGATCGAACGATAAGCTGTATGAGCTTTACAACGACATGGACATAATGCAGCGAATTAAAATACAGCGGCTCCGCTGGCTTTGCCATGTCGTTCGAATGGACACCGAGGCTCCAGCTCTGAAAGTATTCAACTCGGAACCCGCTGGTCGTAGCAGCGGAAGAGGGAGGCTCCCACTGCGATGTAAAGATCAGGTGGAGAAGGACTTGGCGTCAGTTGTCTCAGAAAAAAACGACTTGCTGAACTCGGCCAAAATCGCTTAGGCGGTTACAGCGCCAAAAAAGAAGAAGACGAAATCTCTTTTATGCAATAAGTAGCATGAATTCAGTAAACTTGCGATTTGACATCAATCAATTGCATTTTCCTGCATGTATTTTCAACTACTTTAAAATGCATTTGGCTTAAACAACTTCAAAGTCAGTATGTTACGTTTGAATACGCTTTCGTTCTGAACTTCACAGATGCTTTTACATATTTAAAAGACAAAAAAAAAATATTATTATTTTCACATGTTGCCTCTGTTGGGACGCGAACCCGGACCTTCTGGAAGCTAACAAGTAACAGCAAGTATCTCTGCACGCTCAGCTACAGCCAGACATATAAATGTGCTTTCAAATGTCCAGTTTGAATTGTGTGCAAGCAGCAAGTCGACTGTCTTATTCTGCATTTATTTTTACCTACTTTAAAATGAATTTGGTTTAAACAACTTCAAAGTCAGTGTGTTTCTTTTGAGCACGCTTACGTTCTGCACTTCACATATGCTTTTTCATACTTCCAAGACACAAATTGTTTTTTTGAGTAAAAAGAGTGTCAAAATTCGAAACATTAACTTCTTGCATTTGTTTTAAAGTAGTCTTTCAATTAGTTAAAATCGGATAAAAACCACGTGCTTCACCCACATAACAGTAATTTCAAAAAGCTCAAGGCTAGCTATATTTTAGGGGGAGTAATGTTTGTCCGATTTCAACACGGTTCTTAAGGAGGCCAAGCTCAATGTAATTTGGTCGAGATCGGTCAGGTAGTTTTTGAGATACGCATATATGATATATGTGGGCGGGAAAACAATTTTTTGCTTAAGAGCCATTGTATATATCAATTTTGAGTAAATATTGATGAGCCCCTTAGGCACCCTGCTCAAAAGATCGGCACGCCCGGTACATACACATATAAATTCAAGGCCGTATTTTTGCTTAAATTGCGTAACTTCGACAATTTTTATGCAGTTGCATTGGATGAGGTATTAATTTATTCGAAGATAAATGCTCTTTTAGATAACTAACACATATTTGGCAGCTTTCATAAACATTTTTGCGATGATCAAAGTTCAAAAAATTAATTAATAGATAAGTGCATCAAGTACGAAAATAACGGTTTTTTGGAATACAAAAAAATTGAGGGTTCAGGAACTATACGGGACCCATTTTCATGTTTTACTCGACCATATTTGCAACTTACACTAGGTTTTGTTTCGGGTGTATTTGATTGCTTTTTTTTATAGCATCGTGTAATTATTCAATTATTGAACTATTACAGAAAATTTTTATCAAGGGTTCCAACAGCATACATAAATTCATGGTATAATAACACAATATTCTAATTACGAAGGGGGAAAACACTGAAATATAGATATTCGGACACTTTTACAAATATACATACCTATATGCAAAGTAATAGCAGTGTGACATTTTTATCAGTTTTGACTATTCTTCTTCACATGGATTAATTTTTATTGATTTTATACAATGGCCCTCATTTTATTTTCAAGTGATTTTAGTTTTCGATTTTTGAATCTATAATGTAATATACGATCGCTACATATTGGCATACTAAAATTTCTATAAATTATGATTGTGCTGAAACTGAATGAATTGTGAAAGTGCTCCTGTGCATGAATGTGCCAAAAACGGCACTATTGTGCCTCCTTTTCCATCACTGCCGGAATCCGTAATAAAATTTACAATTGTGGAATAAATGGTTTTTAGATTACTTGTATATTGCATGATGCAATAATGAAAGGTGTTATACGTTGGCAACTTCTCGCTCTAATCCGCCATCTTGAACTACCTTAGAAGAAAATGTGTTGTTTCTTTGCTATTTTCACTGAACATTTCCCAAAATATTAGAAAAAAATTCTGAACAAGCTACATTGATTCAATTTTCGTTGTTCGTTTTGTTCTTATTCGCTGACATTTGTTTTCCAATTGCGTGAAATTTGGTAAGTATTGTAATAAAACCGAATTATTTTACAAATAAATTATAATTTTGCATTTATTAGGTCATTTCCTTAGTGTTTCGCTGACCGACCTGTGCTGGTATTGTGATTAAGAGCTAATACACGTAAGTTACAACATATTATTTTGACCAGGGAATGAAACCGAAACACGAACCGAAACCGTAACCGTTTAAAACCGTTTCGTTTTTCAAAACCGTAACCGTTATCTTGACCTGAAAAGGAACGATACCGAAACCATTTCAATCACAGGTCTCAATCGGTTTTCAGAAATTTACAAATNTATTCCCGTTTATCTTGTACTTCCAAAATACAATATTGACCTAAGGTAGTTCGATTCCGAGCTGTCACAACGTACAACACCTTTCATTATTGCATCATGTGTATATTGTATGTATGTTAAATTGATTTTGAAACTTTTTTAAGCAGGAAACGCAGTGCTCACACGTGTGCATATATACTATATACATACATATGTGTATGAACATACTATGTGTTATGCTTTAATAATGTAAAAACGTGGCAAATTTTCATGAATAATATGCATTTTATTAAATATTAATTCGATGATCAACTGGAGTCAAACAACTTACATCATGTCTGATGTTCTTTCTTCCGCTTTATTTTTCAACCAGCCTTTTATAAACCAATTAACAGTTTACTTAACTAATTAATATTAATTAAAATATTACGTAAGGAATTTTTTTATTAGTACCTACTTGTCATCTTATACTTGTTAATAGTCCTCTAATGAAAATTAAAAAAAAAAAATCTTAGTGGACCAACCTCTTATATTGTTGTTTATTGGGAAATCACGCGATAACGAATTTGCTTTAATTTAAATCATGTGTAATATAATGTTATGGATTTAAATATTATTAGCAAAATCAACTGCCTTTTTGTTGCCTTTTGTTCCGGCTCAAGAATTCGAAGACTGTTTATTTTGTTTATTGCGTATCCAGAACTCTACTGCGGTCTTTACCCTCTGCTACTGACGTGACCGAAATTTCCCTATTTTGCTGACTTGTGCTAACTCAGACCAGTTTGCCAGATCAAAATACATATGTACATATGTTAGATATATGTATCTTTATAAACTTTTTTTTCAATTTAAACTGGAAGTTCTATCAATATTTAAAGTAGTAGACCCGATTAAGCGGCCGATGCACAAGCTAGTATCGACCAAAAGAATCGGAATCGGCCGTTTTTAGCCGATTCTTGAATGAGGTATTGTTATTTAGTTATTTGATTATGTTTTTCTTTTGTTATTATAAACATTTTTAAACGCATTTGTTCTTGAAATGAAACTATATTCAGGATTTAATCGACAAAGAATCGGCCGATACCGTTTTGCTGCTTTTGAAGCTAGATTTAGCTCCTTATTTTTTATTTTATGTGGAAGAAAACCGCAACACAAAATAAAATCTAATACGACAATTTTTAGGTACTTGAAAGTTGAACCTTTTATACTATAACTGGGTGGACTTCAAAAATGCATACTCAAAATTTTTCTAGAAAATCGAATTAAAAAGCTCGACATTTTTACGAGTTTGTTGATTTTTTTTTAAATATTGTACAAAACTGGAAACTTGAATTTAAGCGGATATTGTTAAAGAATTAACTATATTTTTATAATAATAAGTCAAATTAAATAACATAAAAGAAATAATAATTGTGAACCGCTGTATTATATCATCGTTTAAAGTACAAAACCGCGTAACTGGCATCGGCTGCGAAAAATTGGATTTGCTCACACTAGCTCTTGGCTCAATCCTTATCCATACGTCCTGAAAATACTAGCCAGAAATGCGATTGATTTATAACAAAGAGAACCATTTTGAAATATGAGTGTTTTTACTCTCAAAAAAGTAACTTATGCAACCTCACTTACGCGGTTTTGCATTTTGTTGATACGCGGTTTTGTACTTTAAACGACGATGTAGTAAGCATTTTGTATTCTTTATTTGTTAACATACTTAATAAAAGTTTGGTTTGGCTTATGAATACCAATTTTTTTTTTTAATAAGGAGATATCAATGGGTGGAAGGAACGTTCATTTTGTGACATGAAAACATATGGTTGCAATTTTGTAAACAAACTAAATTGAATTTTTGGTATTTATATGCTTTTTGGCTGCCTGCTATAGTTGCGTTCCAGATAACTTCGTGAAAAAACCTATAAAACTGTCAAATAACAAAATTACTCTCTTGAAAGAGAGGAGCGAGAGCAAAACAATAAAGGTCACCGCGAAAACCACTTTTCCTGTAACTACTTCGATTTTTTTTAATCGTTCAAAAAATTTTTGTTGCCGCAACTCGACGTTTGTAGGAGAGAGCGCGACGAGGAAAGGAGAGGGGCACCAAGTTGCTCGTGCTCGGGCAACACGCTTTGTGCTCTCATTCGTCTGTGCCGCTGTTCACAGCTGACAACAACAATTGCATGCACACAAATCGCCGTGTGTAAATGAAACCAGCAACACCACAAGGGAATGTGAAAAATCGAGGCGACAAAAGTTTTCGTGTATAAACGCAGTCTAAGTAATCCTTATGCGCATGATTCAATAATACAAGGTTGGATAACCTGGCAGTTGTCTCGCTCCCGCATTCTGCCTTAGCCTGTGTTGCCTTCTTTTTTGTTTTATAAAAACTCTACTAAAATACAAGGAGAAATATTGTCTTCGTGTAAAAAGTTCAACAGGCAACACTGCCGATATTTTCATAGATTATTTCGAGGAAATTCATTTTCTTATTGAGCAAATTCAAGTAAGTATGGCAAAAAAATCGAAAATAATGGAAATATTTTGAATTACAACAATAATTTACATATTTATTTTGCAAAAAGTAGAGTTTTACAACAAGTGCAGCCGTTGCAAGTAAGTTTTGCATGCTAATATCCCTGTATCCATCCACGTATGGTAGTACAAATATTAATAAATATATTCTCTTGTGAATGTCAGGATCATTTGGGTGTCCGTCCACGTTTGCTGGTGCATGTATTTTTACCACTGCAGCCTTTGGGTTGGTCAAATGCAGCCTTTGCATATTTACAAGTAAGTATACCACTCCATAAAAGCGAAAGTGGAAATATTAATAAAGGTATTTTCTTGTGCTGATTGTGACTGATTGCAGAAAAAAGTAAACATTACAAAAAATTAACATTTTTAAAAAACGAAATGTAATGTATTGAAGACATATTTTTAAAGTTTAACCGATATAATGATTAACAAGACTGATTGGAGAAAGAAGTAAAAAACATTCCACAAAAATTAGATTTTTAAATAACCAAATGTAATTAAATTGCGATATTGAAGATCTAACTTTTAAATGTAACCAATATAATGTATAGCAAGACTGATTGGAGAAAAAAGTAAAAAACATTACTAAAAAATTTAAATAAAAAAAACCAAATGTAATTCAATTTAAGATATTGAACATGCAATCTGTAAATGCAACAAATATAATACTTTTTAAAAGATTAACTTATATGCATTAAATCAATTGCATCTTTACCATTTGTATAATTCTTCATATAGTCCCTTTGAATAAAGGATTTGTTTGAATTCCATTAATTTGTTAAATATATACTGGAATATAAATGAAACCATGGTTTATT